GGTAGTCATTAATAACACAATTTTTCTCGTCAATAGGCAATAGGCAAAAAATTGTATGAATCAATTATTTTCTTAATAAATCTGCTACTGCATTTATATGCACATTTTTCGTGAAATTTACACACATTTTTAGAGGCATACATACACTTATTTAGTACCATATTTCTATAATCATATGCAGATAATATACACACACACCAAATGTAAAAATGCTGTTTTAAAAAAGCATTTGTACATGAGAACCATCTGCATTCTTGTTTATAATTGCATTACAGGAAGTTTCCGTTTTTGTTCTGTCTAACTGGTGATGGATGGCACCATTGCCGAGTAAACGCTGATTATTATATTTAGAATAATTAAAAATTGGTGGCATAACACTTTAAGTTTACTGATATTGCTTTGTGTTTGCCGGTTTGTTCTTGCTTTTCATGAAGTTCCTTTTCAGTGATATGGAAATGTGAAGCTTTTTCTGTATGAGAAGGTAATATTTTTGTACTTTTAATATAACTTTTCAATGTAAACGAAATATGTGTATCAGTGAGACGTTAATAGTGTTTTAACTGTTACTCATAATCAGGAGCATAGCCTGAATTTCCATAAAGGCATTCTGCTGAACATCAAATGTTTCGAAAATGATATTAACAAATGAAAATTAGAATTACATGTATTGGAAAGTTGAATATCGTTTTTGTGTATCAATATGTTGTTTTTAAGGTCTGATTTAAGGGTTTTTTTAATTCATATTAATGGTCCGCCAAATATAAAATTATATATGTAGTGGTCCATGAAGTTCTAAGGGTTGACGACCACTGCTATAGATGGTTATTATTACTTCTAGTAGCACTGAAGCAAATGAACTCTCTACATGAATAAGTGATTTATTCTAGATCTAGGTAATTTTAATTGCTCCAGCAGATTTTTTTTTCAAATGCCATCTTTATGACTTTGGTTCGGTTCAGCCATTCATGAAAAAGTTTCTGGGAGTGGAAATGCAAATTTTACAAAACCTCAAACTTCAACCTTCAACGATGGTCATACTTTTGTCTAAGTATGGTTCAAGCAAAACTGTGGGGTTTATGGCAGAGAAGTTATATGTAAAATTTAGGTATATTTATGTGATTGATGAGCTTTATTAGTAGCTTTTAAGCACAAGTGGTTAAAATTTATGTATATTTATTTGCATATATGTAAATCTTTTCAATTTCTTACTTGTATATTTTTAGTGACAATTTACATAAAAATGCATAATTTTTTACTTAGCATTTAAGTATACTTTTCATAGGAATTTACATTAATTTTCACTATTTCTTTTAGTTCGTATAAATGTGTAATTTTGGTAAAAATTCAGATAAATCTCCTGTTGATTTTACTGTGTATTAATGTGCAATTTTGGCAAAAAAAAGTATGAATCAATTATTTTCTTAATAAATTTGCTACTGCATTTATATGCACATTTTTCGTGATATTTAAATGGCATTCAATAGAAACTAAAATGCATTGCGGCCATGGTACTTTATCATCTTAACTTTAAAGAAAAAAACTCCATTATCAATAATTTTGGAAAAATATCCTAAAATTTACTTAGTATTTACTGAGTACTTCTGACTTGAGTTTTAAAGAACATTCAAGAGATTAAAGAAAAGTTGTAAATTTGGATATACGGAAACATAACATCCACTTTAAAATTATCCTCCTCATAGCAAACCTGAGGTCACTTATCTCAATACTTCAACTAAAACTATTTTTATCAGAGACTTCACTGCCCATTCATCTACATGGGGATACCCAGACGCTAGTGATCCCGGGAAAGAAGTTGAAGACATTTTATACTTTACATTTTTTATAGTCTTATGATTTGCACACTTTTATAACAGAAAGAAATTTAATACAGAATTACTGCTTGCTACATCAGACTTCTCACCCTTTACCAAAAGAAAAATATTGGATGACCATGGTTCACGGAATCAACAAGTAATTACTGATATTACATTTCCACCCTGATATAGAAGCACATATATTTAAAAATCATCTTGGAATTTAAAAAAAAAACCTTAACAAATTGCAAGCTAACAAATGTCGTATTTGATCAACAAATTTGATTTTTGTTGCCATTTTCAAAACTGTTACAAGGCAGTATAATTTTTAATGCTAAAAAATGTATTCAAGAGGGCAGATTAAAGGCTACATGTGCTTTTGGTCTGAAAAACTTAAAATGATGAAAGATAAATGAAACAGGCTAAGAAGAAAAGTAGAATTAATTAGAAGTTGAATGTCCATCTAACATTCAGGCTTAGCAAAAACAAGTTGCTTTATTTAAGATTGTCCTCTCAGAGAAAATAATATCATTTGATAGCTTTATTTCTAAGATAAACTTCAAAAATAATGGGAAAAGAACATATAAAATTTTCTTCAAAAATTAAATATGAAAATTCTAGATCATTTAAAAGACCCTTCTTAGTGAATGAAATGTCTGCTGCTTCAAGTTAAGCAACTGCAAATACACTTGCGCAACATTTCCATAACAAGCAACACAAATCTGATTTCTGCAGAAAGCAGACAAAATCAGTTAAAGCAAGTATTAGATCTATTCATAATTGTTCTTCACAATCACAAAATATCCTTCTCTTATTAAGTACTCCAATCACCATAGATGAACTCTCTGTGACATTAAGCCATTTAAAATCAAATAAATCTAAAGGTGACAATGAAATTCGTCCTTAATTTCTCATGAATTTGGACTATAAAGCAACTTATAATATTCTGAAGTTTTTCAACTTAACATGGTGTAAATTGATAATAATCCTGATCCCCAAAATAGAAAAGGAGCACAGAGACATAAAAGGATACAGACTGATTTCAGTTTCAAGTATTTTATGTAAAACTATAGAGAGGATAACTGAAATAAATATAAATTGGTATGCCAAAAATTTTCGATTTTTAGCCAATGAACTACTGGTTTAAAAAAATATAGATCACCTGACCAGCATGTTACACTACACAGCCAAAAAGTAAAGAATACACTAGATAAAAAATAAATCCTTTCTGTAGTTTTCATTGACCTGAATTCTGCTTATGACTTAGTTTGTAGGAGTATTTTACTTTTAAAGCTTTTCAACAGTGGAGTTTAAATATGTTTCATTGATTCAAGAGCTTTCTTAGCCAGTGAATTGGTACAATTTGCTATGTTATATACAGTTGTAAAGACTGGCCTCCCACAGGGAGCTGTTGAACTGAAATTGAAAAAAATTGGTGTTAAGTTTACTGCAGTTTTCAAATTTTTTCACTGACTCACCAGCTTTCGAAATTAAGATCTTTTATTTCAGGATTCACTGGTACAGGGAACCAACAATTTTCAATACTTGACTTGGAAGGAGCATATTGAAATGATTTTAGAATGTGCTAGTAAGAGGCTAACCTTAATGAAGAGAGCTGCTTGATCTAAAAGGGGTTATTCTAGAACCACTCTTGATTTAACATGCATCTCCTATATTCTACCTCTTATTACTCACTACTGTGAGCCCCTCATGGCAGCATCTAATCACGTGATGGATTCACTAATAAAAAGATTTCACAACCAAGCTTTCTGACTTATCACTGGTGCAATTAAAATCACCTCAGTTGATGCACTCTTACTAGCAATACGCCATATGTGCATTAAATCCATTGTGGAAGAGAGAGCACTAATCCTATGGGAAGAAATTTTTAAGGGAACTAGACTGCTTTTCCCTATTCTGAAATTTTTCAACTCAACATGGTGTAAATCGATAAATATCAATAAAATAATAAAATAAATAATGTAATAATGCATGAAATAATGTGGAAATTACAGCCAAGTGTTAATGATATACTCAGTTTTTTATTCATACAGTTTTCATATAAAAAAGTGCATTATACATCATGTGATGCAAACGATACAAGCTGACCCTCCCAGCATAGTTTACATTGCCCTATGGTCTTATTAGGAGCTGTGGCAGAGCAAGCGAGAAACAACAGCCTCCCCCCCCATGCTGCCTACAAAGAACTTTTAAGGGCCATATAAACCTTAAATACCTCCTTTCTTTCTAAAATATCCATAGCCAGGTGTTACTTTCTTTTTTGGTATAGTTTGTGAGAATAACAAAATGCCATTAACTTTCAATAAGAAAAACGTATTAGCTAACAGTCCCCCTTTTCTGCATTAAATGATTGCATTAAATCCTTTTAAAAAATACAATGACTATTAGATAACTGCCAACTGACAAGATACGATAATTCATGCTAAGTTTTAAGAAATACTTATACCATCAGATTAATGGTAAGTATAATATTTTGCTTAATTTTAAATTGCGAAGTTTTCCCCTTACTTTCTTTCCTTTTCTTGCTTTCCCTTGCAGCAGTCTTTGCATCATTCTCTTGTACCTTTTTAACCCTTTATATGATCAAAAAATGATGCAATAAAAGGGCATTAAATAATCACAGTGATGATGATAAAGAGTAAACATAATATGAAAAACTTGCTGACATCAGATCATATTTTAAAAAAATTGCTAAAGTTAATAAAATTATTTGGGTAAAATATTTTAATGTTAAGATACAATAACATGGCAAACAAATATTAATTTAGAAGTCACACAACAAAAATCAGCGTTATAATTTCAAAGGACTAATTTTGATGGTTCGATAAAACCATCGAAACTAGTCCTGTGAAAATTTGAAAATATAACACTGATTTTTGTTGTTTCACTTCTAAATTAATATTTTAATGTTGTTTCAACATTTTACTGTTACAATGCCTTTGAATGCAAAGAATTAAGAAAAAAAGAGATTATATTTCCTTAATAAAATTCTTCAATAAATAAACACTTACAACAGTTCAGGTTTATATTATTTGCAGTGTAAATCTGAATATATCTATTATTAAGTGATTACTATTAACTAGATCTCTAGAACACATATTTTAAGCATTCTGAAATGTAAAACAAATATTCCTGCTCTTTTAAAAACACATAAATAAGTCTTACCAGCTTTTAACCGCCTCTGAAAAAAAAAAGAAAAGAAAAAAAAAAAAATTACTACAGATTTTATTTTCTTACTACACATAAATACTGTAGAAAGAGTAACCTATTAATGAAAATTTTAGCAGAGATAAACACCAGTACAATTATGCAGACATATATGATATAGGAATTTCAGTAAATGATATCATTTTGCAAGTTGCCAAACAGTTTTTTGAAAAATTAGTAAAACAGTAACTTTTGAAATGAGCTACTAAAATATATTACTTTAATTTAAATATTTCTTTAAAATAATCAACATAGCCAATTTGTGCTTTTTGTTTCCTTACATGACTTTCTGACCACAGATTTCAGTAGAAATATCATATTTTTGGCATATTTAAAAAGAAAAAAAAAAGTGACAATAGCCAAGCACACATACACATACTACACATGTGTTTTTAAATTTATGTGGATTTATATATTTTACAGTTCACCATCATTTTACTGAATGGTATTCATCTGTTGTAAAAATGTAAATATCGGTCATGTACATTTTTTGTCATTAAATTACTGATTTTATGAATTTAAAAAAAATTATTATTTACAAAGACTACCTGCCTGTAAGCCATGAAGGTAATTAAAATATTTTTCAATTCACAGGGTTTCCAGTGAGTTGACAACTTTTTGTGAACATACAGATAATCAAAAAGTAAAGAAAAAACATTTGAAATATGATGAGCATCAACAATAGAAATGCGAAAATTATTTTTATGAAGCAACTGTAAACTGAAACAGGTTCTATCAAAATAAACTTGCCAAAGAAGATAAACTACAAATCTGATTATTATGTAAGAAATACCACTTGGATGTTTCTAAATTTTTTTTTGGTCTCTGTGTGAGTGTGCTTGAATTTTGATGTTACCAATTTGCTATGAAAATAATAAAAAATTATATATTAATTTAGTAACTTTCAAAAGTGTTATCCACAGTACAGAATAAGGTACTTGTTTTTTGTAGCAGTTTTGATAAAAAAACTGATCTGGTGCATTTCGACATTGGTGAAACAGTTACTGATTTAAGCATGTGTGAGTAACAAACATTTAACAATTTAACTGGTTTCTGTAATTTTACTGTGTTAATATAACAGTTTTTTTTAATGTAAAATACTCATTATGCTTACTACTTTCAATCTTTCATCAACAGAAAAGCAGCTATAGTTGATGGTTTGGTTTGGTTTGTTAGATTACGGCAAAGCACTCGACAGCTATCTGCCTTAAGGGAGGGATGCTTTCATGGTGGACTTTTTAAAGGGAAACCGGCTCGTATACACGTTACACATGGAGGAAACCATGAAAACACCCAACCTCGGACCGAACTACCAGTGTTCAGTGATGTTACCGCTCAGCCGCTGGTGGGCCCTATAGTTGATGTCTGAGGTATTATTAGCAGGAACTGTGGCCATCAGAAAGAGTCAGTAAAAATGAATTTTACAGTATATTTAATAAATATTACTTTTAATAACTTGCTAATGAAACTGCATTAAATAAAATAATTAATACAATTCTCTGGTATGTTTAAAAATAAACGTTTAAAAATAAACAGAATTTCCCAATATGTTTATACAAGTTGCTATTTAAAAAAAAAAAAAAAAAAAAAAAAAAAAAAAAAAAAATTTGCACATATATCGCATTAAATATGATAATCAATGTACATACGAAATAAGATTATATTATTTTAAATAACTTGCTGATGAGATTTTGTTAAATCTAGAATAAATACAAATTTATATAAAATTCCTTCTGTACGTAGTTATGGCAAATGCGATTATCTGGTGATTATATATGAACACCGGTCATTATTCATTCTCATCACTAATTTTGGTAAATGTGATAAATTTTTTAATATTTATCAAATTCAGTGGTTCATTTACATATTCACAGCAACTTAAAAGTGACTATGATAAAAGTCCATAACTTCATTAAAACTAATTTGCTAATTAACTAAATTTGCTCAGTTTGTGCAGCTTGGCTTTTATCATGATGTACACAAATATCACAGAGCCTGTTTGTTACTGGTTGTCTCTGCCAATGTCAGATGCACTAGTCTATACATGGACTAACTGTATTAGATCATGATTTCAGCAGCTTTCTAAACTCCTATCAGCAAAACATTTGTTACCCTCTTATATTTTATATTATACTCAATAATGGTAGTATGATCGAGTGTTTTAATTAGTTAATATTACAAACACTTATAGCAGTGGTTTTCTGATGAAAGAAAGATATGACGACCATATAATGACTTTATATTTTTCTATCAAGACCACTTGATGAAGTTCATACAGCTGAATGCCTTAAAAAGAACACATGCAGAAGAGGTTGCAAATCATCTAACTGGTATCTTTAATATATTTAGAGCCTCCAGCACACTGCAAAGTAACAATGGGCTTAAGTTAAGTAATCAAATCGTAAAAGAAGCTTGTGCAAATATGGCCAGATCTGAAAATTGTGCACTAAAAAGCTAGGCACAGCCAGACTCAATGTTCAGTCCACCATGTGAACTAGGATATAGACAATATGCTAAGTTTTTGGTTGGAAAGCAGTCAAACTAGTAAATGGTTCGAAAGGTTATGCTTTGTGCAACTTATGAAAAGTAGAGTATTCCATAAAGGCATCAAGTATACTCCTTATGAAAAAAAAAAAAAAATGTTTGGAAGGCCTGTAAAAGTAGGCTTGAAAACATCTTTCACATGTGAACCTATCAAATGTCTTAGAACCGAAGAAGAGCTTCTGGCTTTAATCAAGACAGTTAATAATGCTTCCTAAAACACTTACAATGAAATAAAAGATGATTCTGATGTGGACAATAACAATCCATTGAAAAATGGCTCTCAACCTGTAGTTAATTTCGAGACTCAGAAAGAGGATGAAGCAGTGGTCTTTTTAATTCAGATAGATATTTTAACCAGGCAAGAACAAGTAAGAAAACAAAGAATGAGTGTTGAAGACACACACACAGACAAAGAAAATGCTGAAAGTTTGAAATCTTAAATTTCCTCCTGGCAGTTCGTGACACAGTGAAACTATGAATTTTACAGAGAACTTACATTCACAGAGAAGAAGTGACCCGTGAAATTTATTAGCAGTGATATTAGAAGTTCAAAATGAAAAGCTTTTTCAGTTAGGAACAAAACAACAAATATTTACAGTTTTATACCATAAATCAGTTTACATTTTTTTGGGGGGAGGGGGCTTGATGATGTTGCAAATTTAGTAATATTACTTCAAAAATATCTCACAAAATCATTTATCTTTGTAGGTTAGCAACATGTTTGTAAGAGACAGCGAGAGTCTTATAAGTGAAAATGTAAAAAATCTGGCAAATATTATAATTATGCTATAACAGTTATGTCTAAATAAGTAAATTTATTAAATTTATTAAAATGTTTAATAATTTGTCATATTTCAAAAAAATGTTTTCTCTTTAGAACATGGGTTTAATTTGATCTTGATGCGTAACTCTTCTGTATAAATTCTAATAATAAAATTTATTTTCCCTACTTAGTTCTTTCATTTGATTATATATGTCAGTCCCTTACTCAAATTTTATTCAGGCTACATCCATATGACTTAAAATAACCATTTACTGCCTCTTTAACTGTAAAATATAAAATATTGTTATTCACTACTTCTCATGCCATTGTGTCAACAAAAAACTATCCTGACTAGTAATTATCCAAAACTTATACTGTATTCCCACTGGTTCAATTAATCAAAATCAGGGATAGGTCTCTTTTTTCATCATATGGCCCAATGAAACTTTTTATATTGTGACGTGAGATAGATTAGATTAAAGAATTTATTTTTCTTATTTTAGGCATGTGCCCACCATTAAATTGAGGGGGGGGGAAGAAAAGAAAAGAAAGAAAGAAAAAGACTAAAGAATTTAATGAAACAGAATTTTAAAAAAATGAATTAAAAAATATAGCAAATTCTCAATGTGTTTAAATCTAAAAATAAAATCAGTTATAGGTGGTAGATTTAAGGTAAAAGAAGCATAATTTGGAACAAATATTTTTACTGTGATAACACCAAAATAATTACAAGAAACCAGAAAAGAACTTTAAGAAAAATTAAACAAGAGTTAAAAATTCTAATGAGAAGGATTAAAATTAGTATGTTCGTGATCCATAATTTCTGAATCACTAGTGGTTATTCGCAAAATAGGTCCTAAATTTGTAATTTATGGTCATCTGTAATGTGTGATCTCTTTCTGCCTTTTGTATTTTTCATTAAAGAAAATATAGCTTCACATCGGTAGATAGATCCTAGGAATGCTAATTTTTTTTTTAGCATTATATAGCATACTTTTGAACATTTCTCGATTTAAAGAAGCATAAAATTCTGTTACCTATTTTTCTGTAAATCGGTTTTAAAGCATCAGATTTGATTGTAAATTTATTACTTCCAACTTAATACAAGATGGTGCATTGGCAACATTAAAATTAAATGGTTGCCTTACTAATGATAAACCTTTGGAAATCTTTTGAAAATTATCAAATCTGCTTATAAATTACAAATCACTTACTAGCTTCATACTTCTTTAAATCACTACCTTTCCCAGTATTTCTCTCTTTTCTGCAAAATGAGAATGCGGGTTAATTGTTTACTCTGAAATTGTTGTGAAAATAATTTTGTTTTAGTGGTAAATGATGTGACATTAGTAAACACGCCAAAAACAGAACTGTCCCTCCCCTTGCAATGACAAATTTAACCGAGTCTGATGCGAAAACATATCAACGGAAGAAAAAAAGTCATTCAGGTGATGTCATCTTGTAGTTCAGAAAACTCATTCAGTTTTTTCTTAGCATTTAAAAAGTTAAATTATTTCATTTAACAATTCATAGAATCACTTTAGCACTTTTGCAAGACTAAGCCACAGTATTTCCATGTGGTAAGGAACACCAATCAACTCATAATCAATGTCTTGCAAAAATGTTACAAATTGCTGGTGGTTTAAAGCTCTTCTACAAATAATATTAACCACCTTTGTTACAACTCATATTACATGCTTAAGTTTTAAAACTCTTGCACAAAGGGTTCCCTGATGAATAACACAATGTAGAAAAATTATTTCTTTTCATAAAATTTTTATTTCGTAGCTTATTCTTTTTAACAATTCGATGTTTTTTCCTGTCAAACTAGGACATCCATCAGTGGTGATCTTAAAAATTTTCACCCATTTTATATTGTGTTTCTGCAATACTTCTTGAAAAGCAATAAAAAAATATTTGCCAGTCATAGTGTCTTTCACAGGATATATAGAAAGTACTGTTAGTTGAAAGTTGACTAATACTATTAATGACACATGACTCATCTAATGCCAGTGCATGGTAAGAACGTTGAATTGAATTGAATGAACGTTGAACGTTTAATTGACCACATAAATTATTTGAAATATCACCAATTTGTCTCACAAGAGTTCTTCATGACAAAGAATTTTTTTCAAATGAAATTGAATGTAAAAAATGAAATTTGAAATTGAATGAAGGAAATGAAATTTGAAAAAAAAAATTAAATTTCTTTCAATTTTGTTCTTTTTTATCAAGGCATAATAATTTAACAATACCTATCAAACATTCCTTCACAAATTATCCATCAGAAAAGATTTGCACTGCTTTGCAACCTTATGTGCAACAACGTAAGTTACTTTTCTAAAAACTCTATCTGTGTATGATAAATTTTTCAAAGTATTTTGTTGCTTTCATAAAGCTGATTCTAATTTTTCTGCTTTGATTTTCATTTGTTCCAGGGAAAAAATTTTATATTTAATGAAATGTTTTGTGGAAAAATGCTCTTTTTAGATTATACTCTTTAAAAATGGAAATAGTTTCATTACACACCAAACAAACAGCTTTGTCATCTATATTTGCAATAGAATAATTAAACATCCAATTATCGTTTAAAATGTGGCATTCCACATCAATTTTTTAATTGTTCATCTTATGGACTATAAATTATATCTTAGATTAAAAATTATAATAATTAAAAAAGATGTAATTAAGCTTACAATATTTTTTTTTACTAAAACTTCATCCTTAGCTAAATTTAGTTTGATCAATGGTTTAATATTAATTAAGAAACAACAGATATTCTTTGATAACCTACTGCACTTAATGCAGCTATCTGTTTCATCAGCACATCGGCCATTATCTTATTATTCAAGCAATCAAAGCTCAATGGTGAAATAAGATAGAGAATGCTTTCCTCACAGCATCTCATTATGACGTGCATTAATGCATGTATTGCATTGTTTTTTGATACAAGATCGAAAAAACAGACAAGCATCTGGTGACACAGCGAGATGGTAAGTTTTTAGATTCCCTTCAATTATTATAAGTTTCAGTTAATGCATGGAAGCATAATTAAAGTTCTTCATTTTCATTTTCCACAAATTTGGTTTGTTGAAATACAATACTATCAATTACTTGTAATATACTAAGCAGTAATTAATGTGTGATTGCTTGTCTCTGTTAAAATATTTTTATTAATAACAATTTCAAAATTATTAAATTTCTACATTTTATGCATTTATGTAGTGAGCCAGACTCGACAATTTCATAGGCCGTTGGTTGCCCATGCCTGGTCAAGATAATCATTACATTTGCCATAATATATAGATAAAAAACCGGTTAAAGTGAATAATTTTCATTAAATTATTATATTTACTAGCATTACTGGTGATTGTGAATAATAACCAGCTATTATACATAATCACCAGTTTATTACCTAATATACAAGGCTTAGACAAAAATACGGAAACACCGAAATAAAAACATATTGCTGTGACTAATACGGTGTAGGAAAACTGCTGGCATTCAAAACAGCTTGCAGTCTTCTCGGAATGGATAAGCAGAGGTCTCGTATGCTTTTCAAGAGAATCTTGTACCATTCTTCCTGTAAAACGTTCTCTAGTTTTGTTAACGATGATGGCAGTAGATAGCGTTTGTGAAGATTTTTCTCCAAAATAGCCCACAAAGGCTCAATAATACTGATATTTAGTGACTGTGGTGGCCATAGCAGTTGTGAAAGTTCACCCTCATGCTCAGAAACTAGTCCTGGATAATGTAAGCTGACTGGTGTGATTCTGTCGTCTTGGACTATGTCATCACCACTGGGGAACAAAATTTGTACCATGGAATGTACGTAATGGTCACATATCCTTGGCAGTCATGTGAGATCTTACACAGTGATTATGGGTCCTATTGAATACCAAGCTATAGCTGCTCAAACCATGATTGAACCTCCGCCATGTTTCACTCAGCAAATAGTCTCTATCATACGCTTGGGATGTAAGGTTGTACAGAGCAGTAACTGGCCTTAATACTTTTTGGCAAATCAGGAAAACATAATTTCAGGATTACGTGCTTCGTGTTTATCAACTGACCATCTTTATGCATCTTGATCTGCCTAGTAACACAGATACTCTGGTCAGACAGCTCAGAGACCATTTCTTCTTCTGATATGAAGAGCAGGTCGATCTCGGAGATTACACTACAATTATAATTCAACGTCGTATGCTCTGAAACGTTCATATCCCTTTGCCCAAGTTTATTTAAACTGGGAAGGGTAGCGGGCTGTGCTTGAAAAGCAGTTTCAATTAGAATCTTGCCAGACCACAGCCTTTTGATGTTCTTTGTAGATATTTATGTATTAAAAATGGTGGTATTTTCTGAAGATTTCCCGATAGATTACTAATTACCAGAAATCAGGGTAGATTTTTGTTCTCATCAGCATTTACACTTGTCTTGACTTTGTTTGAAATATATATGTTTTCTTTTTCTTTTTTCTTTCTTTCTTTCTTTCTTTCTTTTTTTTTTTTTTTTTTTTTTTGTTATTGAAGCCATAATTAAAGAAATCAAAAGTTCGGACCTGGTAGCCCTACCTACCACAGAGTCTAACAAGGGGATGCAGATTCCTGTGCCAAGGTTAACCAATCTGAAGTCCCACAGTCAGCTCTCCTGAAAGCTAGAACTCCCAAAAGCTTATCCCCAAACCACTGATCCAAAGGATAAGTGACCAGCCGATTGACACTAGCACGGACAGCTAAGTACTTCCCGTTTTAATCTGAAGCAGAGGCCAAAGTAGTGTGTTGGGAACAGTACCTCTCTGCTCAACTACCAAGACCCTCCTTTCCAGCCTTATGGAGACTAGAAGCAAACTTATGTAATAGCTTCTCATTTTGGGTCCTCAACCTCTGAAAAGGAAAACCCCAAGGGCAGAAAAAATGAAGATAGTACAAATAAGGAGAAATGAAAAAGAAAAGAGTAAAGGTCACTAGGGCTTCAGGATAATGACTCCCGTCTTACCAGGAGGATGATCTCTTCAAGGGCTAGGTTACCTTGAGATTACCACACCCATACTCACAAAAGTGAGCCCGAGTTGCTCGATGAGTCCGGATCTCAGACTTGTATTGTACTGCGTTTCATAAACTAGTCTTCAAAGAACCTTTTTAGCAGAATTTCATGTCACAAGCTTACCAGCAACTTTTTCTATAACTGCTGTGATGATGTCCTTTTAATTAATTTTTTCTTTCTACTTTCTTACCTTATGTAAAAAATTTTTCAGACCACCCAAAAATTCAGAAATACCAATGAACTTTGATGGAGTTTGGATAACGAGACCATGTCCTCCAGTGCTCATCCTCTCCCAGGACAGGAAAAGGTTAAGTTTGGATTCCAGGATTTCACTGAGTAACATACTGGACATTACATGTATCCAATAACTCATTATATTCGGTCTACCAGGAAGTTCTGTCCATTTCTATGACAACAATTTTCTATATGTAAGCACATGTTTATTTGGTGCATGTTCAACTCTCTATTTTTATCACTTAATGTATACATACTGATGTAGCAAATTAACTAAAACAAAGTTGATGTACCCATGGCTACCGATGTTAATATAATATGTCAGGTCACATATTGCTTTGGGGGACTTGTCAAAAAATTGCAGAACTAGGTTGGAAAATTCTGTTGCATCTACCATATCCCACGAACTTAGCACTCTTGAACTATGACTTGTTTTTGTCCACATAAATTTTTTTGAAAGGCAAAAAATTCTAAAATAAAGAAGGTAGCAAACAAGCACTGTTTCAATTTTCTACATCAAGAGATAGACCATTTTTCAAAAATAGGATATACAAATTGCCCTCATGCTGGAAAGAAGTCATTAATAGTAATGGGAATTATATTATTTAATAAAGTTTATTGATGGTAAGAAAAATTTGTATTTTGTTTTATTCCCAAAACGGACAGAACTTTCTAGTAGACCGAATATAACAAAACTAAATTCTTAAATAAGCAATACAATAAGCTATAAATAAAAAAACATATTTTACACACATCTAAAAAATTGACAACTTAAAAAAAAATTTACATATTTTCAGAGTGACACTTACTTGTATAGAAAGCAAAACTCGCTCATGATCAGCAGTATATGCTCGTAATGCTGAGTAATACAAAGCAAGCTTCTCTACATCCTCAGTTAAATTTAGAACAGGCAAAAAATTATCAGTTCTTTCAACATCCATGCCTTATGAAATAATCTAATGAGAATAAAACAATTATTTAGTTACCAAAGTAAATAAAACAACTAAATTAATATTCAGAGTTATTAGAATTACTTTAAACTACAGTTATGAACAGCAACAATCGTATTAGCTAAAGGTTTTCTTAAACAACTAATTTCCAATTAAAACCGAACATACCAATTCAAATTGTTATTGCTTTACACAGTATCAAAAACTTTAAAATGGAATACTATTTTCCCCCATTAATATACAGTGATACTTCATTAAAATGGCCACTTCAGTCAATCGTCAAAATTGAAGATTAGCTTCCATTTTGGTAACTATAATCAACAAATTTTTACCCGCAACAGATACGATTTTCAGACTACTTGATTGCAATGCTGTCTGTGTGATATTAGCAAATTCAGTAATTCTTTTTTTTCCTCTAAAATATTTAGCATTTTATCTTATGATCAGTTATAAAGTAGCAGTAACTTTTGCGATATTTATAACATGTTGATTTTCATGCTAACTCAGAAACATTCCAATATTCTATCATTAATTATTTTCTTTTAAAATGATGGTAACCTTTAACTGTCTGTTAATTTAAAATGCAGATTCTTTGCAACACTGTTTATTCCTTCATATTCTTCATTATTAAATTTTCCTTTAAAATGCTGCCCATATTTAACTTGCTAGCAACTGAAAAAGAAGCATTGGTTTTCTTACTAAGCAAGTGAAAAAGAAGCAATGGTTTTCTTACTAAAGTAAAGAATTTTACATACTGAGTAGAAGTGCAAAAAATGGCCACCAAAACCCCTTACCTTTATTATTACTATTTTATTGCAAGTAACTGTTCCAGTTAACTGCAACACTTTCACACATAATAAGCTGCTTCTTACACCATTTCATAAATATCAACTCCTCTGCCTAAGAATAAATAAGTCTAATAGCAGTGATGAATGATATTTTAAAACTGCTGAACCAATTTCCAACACGGAGGGCTTTTCTTCTTTTTGCAATTTTTAACATTGCACCTCCACATGGTTTCATTCTTAACATAAAGTTTTATATTGTGGCCATTTTCCCAGTGTCATTTGTCAGGTAAAGCATCTCTTAGAAAAATGATATGGCCTCCACCTCATTCCTTGGTAAATTGAAGATTGCTAACATCATATTTACATAAAAAGCAATGAATATATCTTTAAATAATGTGAAAACCTAGTCAAAAATAAATAATAATAACACGTTGTGAGAGCAAAAATGCAACAAGGTGCTAATACACTATGTCACAAAAAATATAAGCACCCAGAAGGAAACTAACTACTATCACAAAACTTAATATGTATGTAGTGTATGAGGAGATAAACAAATGATTATAAATTCAGAACAAAAGATCAGTTTAATAAGAAGTTATGGCATGAAAAATGTTATAAATCAGTAAGTAGTATAACCACCTCTGGTATCTAAACAAGCCAAAAGATGGCATGGCATCAAATCACATAGGTCACCTACGACCCCCTGCGGAAGATTATGCCATAATCTTTGTACCTGCACAGTTAATTCACCAATATTTTCAGACAGTTGCACTGCAAGCATGTCCCAAACGTGCTCTATTGACAAGATGTCTGTGACCTGGCAGGCCACGGGAGTATGTCATATCCTTGAACACATTATCGGGAAAGTTATGGAGTATATAAATAAGTGTTGTCTTGCAGATAAATGGCATCTGAGCGACTTGATAGCATAGGTAGTACAACCACCATTAAAACATCATCGATGTAACTGTGAGCCACCATAGTGCCTTGAAGGATGACTAGAGGTGATTCTGTGTTCTGACAAATTGCTCTCCACACTGTCACACCTTGTATAATTGCTGTATGTCACTCAACAGCACTGGCCTGATGGCCTCCATATGCATGTGTTGGTCATCAACATTAGGATTGAGTCAGGATTCATTGCTAGAGATCACATGATTTAAGTCAGTAACACTTCAGGTTGCCTGAGTTCGGCAGAAATCCAATCTACACTACCTATGTTTAAGTGCTAAATGTCTTAATAGACGTCGGCCAGTATCTCTGAATGGTTTCCCTTGATACAACTGGATGCCTGAAGGGTGGTAAATGGTGCTGAATCGACGCTAGACCTTGTTGGAGCGGAAGTGGCTGCTCTTATGATTGTGCAATCCTCATATTTATTTGTGTTCTTCAGACACTTTGACAATCCGCGATGGTAGATTATCCCTTCCATGATGATCCATTGTCACCAACACTGAGCAATTACCATATCGCTCCAACTGAGGTGGCAGCCAATATGCCTGTTCGACCAAACTGCTTCTTTGAGGTCTACTATATGCCCCTTCTCAAAGTTCAACAACTGTTCATACTGCCACTGGTTATATCTCAGAGGCATCTCTAGTCACAATACCATTCATCCAAGTTGACAAATTCGTTTGAATAGCCCTACAGCACGAGCAGTCACGCTTTTAAACTTTCCCAGCTGCACATCTCATATGTGCATAGCGCGCTTACCCTTGTTTCATTGGAATTGCAATTTAAATCATTTGCGTATCTCTTACCACACTACATTCCTGCTGAGTTTCTTGATTGTGAATCAATTTTTTTCCGAGTGCATACTTTTTTTTTTTTTTTTTTTTTTTTTTTGTGACAGAGTGTATATAATTACATGGTGAGGTATAAGAATTTGCAGCCAGATTTTGAAGAGATATCTTGGTTGATCAAGAGGTGCTATAACAAAGAAGTACCAACTATTCATAGAGAAGATGCGGCCAAATATTGAAACAAAAGACAAAAAGGCTTGCCAACATTCAGATTAATACTTAAGAGAATTTATGTAATGGCAGTATGTAAGATGAGTAAAAATATTCGATTCTTTTACAGCAGCAATTGGATAATTATGGCCTTGAAAAATGTAAATAAATGTATTTTTTACTTCAGGTTAAATACAAATAAACATTATTTTTTGTTACACATTATTAATAATTGTTTTATTATATTTTCATATTAGGATTTTTCATTTTTTTAAGACTGCCATAGCATTTTTTAATATTTGGCAATTTTAATTTTAAATATCCCCAATGCCATGTCTGCCTTCATATTAAAGTATTAGTACTGTAAAAGACCTACTATCTGGCATTTAACTAACCAGAAAGCTCTAGTAACTGGAATATTTAGAATTTTAGCTCTTTTTTCTTAATCCCCACCGGGAAAAGGAGGGGGGAAAAAAAGAGCAAATTGTTAATGGATATGCCTGATGTTACAACACAATCAGAAAATCCTTCCTAACACTTTTCCCTCACATTTTGAATTAAAATTTCGAACCTGTCTTTAATGGAATAGCATGTGTTGGAGTATTTTCAAAGTTTTAAGATCCTGTTTTTAAGAAAAGTGTACATTAATGAACATATGTAACTTGAAAACAGACAGATCACTTTTATCATGAAAACAGACAAGCACTGGCGATGCAAAATAAAAAATTATGATAACAGATTCCCATTTTTTAGATGCTATACCTTGTAACATGAATTAATTGATTATCAAACTACAGAGTGCTTTGTTTCTTTAAATTTCTGTCAGAATGATTGGCATAAGAAGCTTGCCAGCATCTATGCCAATCTTCTGGTCAATGGGATTTCACTATCAGACCGTGTTTAAAGCTATGAGTCAGAAAACGCTTTTTTTTTTTTTTTAAATGTTACATTATTTTAAATGTATATTTCAAATGTTACGTAAACGTATGCTTGAATACAGTATTATTTTAAATGCTATATTCGAGTTAATAACATATTAGATGGCTTTTTATAATCTTTGGATGAGAATTTTTTCCATTCATTTGGCTTTTTTTACAATGAACTGGATTTTGTTACATGCTCAATTATTCAGAATTTTCACATATCCAACACTCTGCATTTCCTGAACTTTCTGCCTAGTCAAGCTTTTACTGTATCAGATCAAACAAAAATAAATTAATTAACAAGTTGTATTAACTCTCACTTCATAATTATTTAAATAAAAAAAAGATAATATAATTAAATAATTAGTCTTCTCTTCTATTTTCCTTTTATTATATCATGATAATCATCTTCAATTGCTACTGCATTCATCATATGGCAAGAAAATATTTAACCATGGACAAGTGCACGAGGATTAGAAGCCAAAGGCCTCAATTTTGATCAAAAATAACAAGACAGGGTGATATCTAAAAGGTCTTGCATTTTACTTTGCATTACTACTTGCATTACTACCCTGCAGTTAGCTTTTCAAGAAAGACTACATGTTTTGGCTAATCTTCAGTTATACACGTACGTTTTAGAGATAACAGTTTTTCTTCTAAGTCTAGGGGGGACAAAGAGAGCATGTTTTAGGCTTTTTAAGGAAATCAGTTACATCTGGGTTAGAATGGATTCTGCTGGAAACTCCTAGCACTTTCTGAATGCACATTTTTATTTCCAGGTTCACAGTTGGCTTTTGAAGCCTTGGTTCCATAAGTGGTTTCACTAATTCTGCTAACTCCATCAAAAAAAAAAAAAAAAAAAAAAAAAAAAAAAAAAAAACTGATGTGTTACATGTGCATTAATTCCACTTACATCAAGTAAACTAAAGAATATTGCCATTGGCTATCGCCTTGTTCTTTGTCTTGTTAAAATGCTTAGAACTTTTTCCATCCAGTGCATCTACACCTCCTTTAGTAAAATTGTAAAATGTTATTATTTCTGGCTTCCCAGATCAAGGTTTTCTGATTTCAAATGATGCACTGAAGAAATGAGAATAACACCTTTTAATTTTTGAAGCACATATGAAACAAGAGTCATTCTATCAGTGAATGCATAAAGGGAAGATCCTTCACTTTGTGTTTTATTCCAAAAAATTCACCTGGCATTTCTCTCGTTTTTTTTTTTTTTTCACAGTACTGACATATGTCAAACCTTTAGTTAAACAAACTCTTATCATGCCAGCTACTGAAATGACTCTAGTAGTTTACCTCTCATGCAAGAAAAAAAGTAAAGTAAATGTAAAGATGAGGTCTATATGACAACAGATCAAATTTTAAAATTATTTTTAAAAAAACTATTGGATAGAGTTTAATAAAAATTTTGGAATAGTATATTTTATGTCAACTTGAAAGTACTGAAAAGGAGAAGACTCATAAGCAGTTCTGCAGTTCTAGAATATTATCAGTCATATACACCTCACCTCTGTGTTTAAGGGCTAAGTACTTTCATTCAACAATAAAACTATAGTTAGAGCTGATTTTGCCTCATAAGAGATTTAAACATAAGCCTAATGGTGTGGTAATCAGCTAAATCGCCATAATGCCCACTGCAGCCATCATCTTTTGAAAACACATTTCTGTAAAATAAATGTGAAGTGTTTTATATTCATCTATGTGCACTCTAACCTAAATACAACAAAACTCACAACTACTGGATACAACTGTAACCATACTTAATGTAATGAAAGTTTTATACATAGTTATAACTTTGCACATGCATTACAGCAGTGCCCCTATACCTCAAGATAAAACAGAATTATATAAGTCTAGTAAAGTTTAATTGATAATTCATGCCACTAAGATATTATTAATGATTAATAAAGTATACACTGAAAGGGTGTTACATTATGATCACCTTTCCCCCTCAAAACCACCAACAACTGGTGAGACATGACTCAACAAGGCATGAACAACAAGCCCTCAAAACTGCCAGCATCTGCCACGGCATTTACTCTACACGGTGCTGATAGGCAGTCTGAAGTATCTGGTACCAGGCACTCACCAATTGGTCCTGCTATTCCCGCATAGTGCGAAATGGTAGTGTGGTAGCACAAATTCAGTTTTCCAGGTGGAACCATAAATGCTCGATTGGATTCATGTCAGGCAAAGACGTGACTTGAAATTCAACTACTCCCTGATGATTTCGTCCTTATTACATGGTGCATTATCTTGGTAAGCGCCATCAATTACCACGAATACTGTTGCCATGAACGGCTGAACCCGGTCTGCTATGATGTTCACATAACACACAGACATTAACATTGATGTCTGAGTTCACATAGCACAACTCTCCTCTGGGATAAATGTGTTGTGGCCAACAAACCACTGGCTCGCTGGCGACTTGTTGTTTCACGTTTTACCATCCCTACACCAGTTTCAGTAAACACTCACAATGGCTGCATGTATGCAGCTCAGCAAATGCACTGTTTCTGAAATAAGTGTTTCTATTCAGACTCGGAATGATTTGACCTTTATAGAAATATGATAAATCCACTACTTTTTCCATTATGTCCCTAAACATCATACATGTGAAAAAGCCCACCAATGGCTAAGCAGTAAAGTGACTGAGCACTGGTAGTTTGGTTTAAAGTCATATCCCATGAATGGGCTCGCTGTATGGGCGTTTTCATGGTTTTACCCATGTGGAACATGTATACAAGCCAGTTTCAGTTAGAAGGTCCTCCACAGAGGCATCACTCCCCATACGCAGATAGCCTTCTAGCCCTCAAGGCTTTGCCATAATCACATAAACTAAAACCAAATATGTGGAAAAACAGTGCATGGGCATTTTATACAATCCAGCATTAGCTACACGTGTGCAATGGTTTTGCCTATGGCAAGCTCACTGCTCTAGGAAGGGGTGGTTATTACATGATGGCTGTTTGGTGTATATAAATCATACAATAGAACATTCTGAATATTTTCACAGCACTTTTTTCATAAATGAAAGATTAATCCTCAATAATTGACAAAGTAATAAAGAATATTTAGCATATATCATTTCAAAATATAGCAGAACTATGAAAAATATGTTTTTTTATCCAAACTCAATCATTATTAAAAAATCACACAAGCTTATTTGCTTGATAGTTGGAACAAATGTAGATACACAATCTTTTGCCCTTCTGGAATACACCAGCAAAGCTATAGGCCATAGCTTCCCACTGGTTTTAAAGAAATTAAAAGTTAACTACTTTTCTTTTCTTCACACTTAAACATCTATAAGAAAATTCAGAATACAACCTTGGCTCAGGGATGAATCGCTGGTTTATGGTACCTTGGCGACCAACTCAACGATGCTAACGTTTTTCCTTTTTGTCCATGTGTGTTTTTTAAACAATTTCTTTTTCTGTTTCAATTTTTAAATGAATTATTTTTCTGCTAGAATTTTTCCTTTTTTTTTTTTTTTTTTACTGTTTCAAATCAACACAAATGCTTTATCTCTAAAACAGGAGATAAAAAAACATAGGCTAAAATGCTTCATAATGCCAATTAGGTGACCTAATCATCAAAAACTTTCACTGAAATGGTGGAACAAATATCCTTCGCCCTGTTACCTTTCACATTTCCTGGTTTGATTCCCAGCCAAATTAAGCTTTCAATAGAATTTTTCCATTTTGTTTGTGCGTATTTCAGCTCAACGAAAATGACTTTACCTTTGGAACAGAGTTGGAAAAAATGCATCTAAAAATGGTTTAAGACATCTATAGGCTGAAATCACAATCAAAATGTTTGCTGAAATAGCAGAAGAGATGTACAAAAATCTGTATTTTCTGAGATAAATTTATGTACGCAACTTTTAAATAAGATCTAGCATAAATTCAACCAATTCTGAACGAAACTGAGGCAAAATTACAGAGAATCTTTGAAATCAAAAGCACAACAAAATGCTTACATAAAATAATGAAAAGTGGTTGAAACATACACCTTAGTTGCTTAAACCATGAATCTTACTTGGTCTCGTTGTTGAACGTCAGGTTACTGCTGCCATTTCTAGAGTCCCCAATTAGCAATTTTTGGTACTTTTCTATTATACACATGCCACACATTTTCGCAATACTCTTAATAAATAATGTGTGTTTTTGTTAACACACAAAGTGCCATATGGCATTATCATTAGGTCCAAACATGTGCTTGGCTACTCTTTCATAAGTGATAAAAAGCATGACAGGCATAACAGAAATGTACTACAATCTTTATTGCCAAATCACTTGATATATTCTAAAGATGAGGCAGCTTGGGTTATTGTATTTTCCCATGTTACTTTCTATTTCAACTTGGCTCGATCGTTAATTTCTTTTAATTTTTCAAGAATATTTGCCAGTTGTGAAAATCATCAAAGAAAAATTATGGCCATAGAATCAGAAGACAGGGCACAATAATGCTGGAACTTCATTCTGCACACTAATAGTATAGGCTTTTATAACCATTTAATGTTCTATTACATACCTTTGCCTGTATCTTGCAACCGAATCATATAAATAAAATCCGTATGATCAATTCTTTTGATGCCAGCCATTTTGCTTACACAATTATCTACCAGAAACACATGGAAATGACAAAATTTCAGAAAGCCCAGTTAAATACTATAAACAGTAACCCTACACTTTTCCAACTTGGCATGATTTCAATAAAATGTAAGGTTGTCAGATTTGGCGAGGTTTCACAACTTGGGGACACTGACCAACAATCTCTAGTCTAGCCCACCACCTTTCATTAAATAAATCAAAAGAATAATTTCCTGACGCAAGAAATAATATGATTCAATTTGTAACCCTGCGAGTATTAAATAAATGTACTTTCACATGAACTGTATTTAATTACGTAAGAACTGAAACAATAATATATTTAGATAAGAATAAAAATCACAAAACAGGATACATTACACACTATCATTTACTCAAATAAAGCGTTATTTAATATATGAATGTTTATATCACCATTATAAATCGCAGTTAATTTTGTTCTCAACATCGTAACTTATTTTTTAAAAAAACTAACTTTTTTTCCAAGAGAAATATTTACCATGCTTTGGGTTACCTGGTATAAAAAATAAAATTAAATTTTTTGCTCACGAATGGAGATATTAAGTACTAAACGGCATTCAGTCAAATAAATACCTAAGTCAATTTTTTGTTCCCCGATTATCCGAAAACTGCGGAAAAAACTACTGGTGACTGAAAATCGCACGTTTCTTACAAATACAAATTTCTTCTATTTTATCATAAACTTTTACTTGAAAAATTTCGTTAACAAGCGAAATAAAATCTAGAAAAGTATCTGAAAAAAAATTAACGCAAAAAAACGGGTAGAAGGTTCCCTTCACCTATCACTTCCAATCGCAAATCACAATAAGATAGCTGTCTTCACCACATTTTAGAATTTTCGGGACGAAACCAAAAACACCAAAACAATCCGTTCTATTTAGTGTTGCCATTCCCAGTAGGAGTATTCATGCTAAATTCCTTTAAATGAAATATATTTAAGAAACGAAAACAAAATTCAGACATGGCTTTTACTTTCATTACTTCTGATATTCGTACTGCTAATGTTACTGTGAAAATAATTTTTATTCCCTATCAAATAAAAACTCTTTAGGGTGTTAGTTTTAAGGAATTCCTTATACAGTAGCTTTACGCGAAGGTTCGTAGAAGCCAGGGATAAATAGAAAGGGCTAGCTCACTTCTTTGTTCGACTCCTCGCCGACGCGAGCCTAATCATGGAGGTAGGAAAGGGAGGAGGGGCCATTCCGCGCTAGAAGTGAAGCACTGCTTTCAAGCTTGGGTCACCAGACGGGGTGTTTTTTGTTTACATTCAGAAGCTCGCTTGACAAGATTCTGATAGTATTTCGACACACGACAGTTCCATAGAAATCGAAAAAGGGACACTCTCGCATGAAAGAAACATTCATAGTGTGATGGATAATAGCAATTTGTATAGTTTACTGACATTTACGCAAAAATCACATCTTGGTTATTTTTCGATAACTAACAACAGCGATTTTGATTATGAATTTGTTTTATAAATTCTAAGCTGTTGCACTACAAAAAAGATAGATTTTAAGAAATTGCTAAAAGAGATCTGCCAAAATTTATTTTCTAGAAGATTTGAAAAGTTTGAAACTTGATGGCTAATGTAAATATAAAATTATGTATGTTAAATATTTGTAATTAGGCACATAGGTCAGATTAAGTTTTTAAATAGAGTAACGCATGCAAGGGCTATCTGCCTAAAGAGAGAGATGCCATCGTGGGGGAATTTTGAAGAAAAACTGACCTTTGAGTGGGTATTAAAAATAATACTTATAATTTTCATTCAAATTATATTCATATATATTTTTTATGTAAAACTTTCGGGTGTATGCTAAATTAGTGTAAATTACTTTACACGAAAAATATAGTGAATGCACAGAAATTAAAGATTTGCACATGCCGGAAATGATAAATAGGAAATATGTATGGGTATTTATGCATGTGCTTGCAAAAAGCATGTATCTGCCTTTGACAAAATACTTAAATATTCATTAAATTATTTATAAATGTATTTGAAATTAGGAATTTATTCACTTATAAACAACTGTAAAAGTACTGTGAAGAAATCTAATGATTAAATGTATCTAATTTATAATGATTATAAATGTTATCTAAATATATAATAACCTTAATATTGAATTGTAAACATAAATTGAAATCCTGTTGACAAATACGTTATAAAACTATTTGAGCAAGAATTGTTCGTATTGGAAAGCAATCCGTTAAAAGGTATTGTAAAGCAAATGCTATGAGATGCGCACTTAAGAACGTAATAAAGAGTTTTGGAATATGTATTGTTGAAATGAAGGGTAAAAAAAAAAATCTGATAAGTATAATTAAAAGAATTATTCTCTTTACATTTTATATAACTCAGTTACAAATTTTAAATAATACTAAAAAAAAAAAAAAAAAAAAAAAAAAAAACTTATTTTATTCCTTTTCAGAAATGTTCAGAGAAAGTCAAATACTATTTTCCTAATAATTCTCTAATTTAATATGAACCGAATAGAGCATTAATTATAAATTGACTTACATTTTTCGATTTAAAAGAAGCCAAAAAATCATGTTATATTTAAGAAAGTATTTTAGGAAGAAGCTCTATAAATAGAAAAGATATAATGCATAATTTTAATATTAATAATACAATAAACTTTGATCTTAATTTTGTACCTTAACCGAATAAAATCGAATTACCTTAATTTTTTTTTTCTAATGTAATTAACGAAAACTTGTGAAAATATTTCATTCAAATTAAACCATTCTGAGAAAACTGTCCTGTGAAAAGTATAATTTAATTCCGTTCAGAATGAAATGTTGTTTAGAAATATGTTGTTTTCACATACTTAGGACTCTGAAGTGTTGTAGAAAAAGAAAATATATACATTTATATGTATATTTGCGACGTAATTACAAAATATTTACACCCGAACGCGTCAAATCCCATAGAACTCAATGGTAAATGATCACCACGTAGGGATCGCCGGTGCTTCAGAGCAGAGTACGGAGAAACTTGTTTAGGGCGACTCCTTCTTACTTCCTACCTCCATGAGCCTAATGGGGGGACAGGCAGTTATCTGACGTCACTGTGATGCCACCTGTCCTGATTTCCCGCGTTTAAAACTAGTTTCATTCAGCTGTGAGACGATTTTCTAGAGGTTACATATCCCAAATTAATTTTAATCATATATATATATATCTGTTTTTAATAAAGTATATATTTAAAATAATTTATATATATGTAATTTGAGTCAGTTTTTATTTTAAATTCTATTTTGTAAAGTATCGTTTACGTAATATGGCTTTTTGCACTGTAGTAACGTGCCGTAGCACTTTCAAAAGTAAGAAAGGATGAGATATTTTATTTCATAGGACCTAAGGCTCCTATATACCAGGCTGAATCATCAGGCATTCGCGATCCCAAGTGGGAGATTTAATGGCGGCTGTGTAGTTACGGTGCAACAATTTTTTGTGTTATTTTGTGTAAAATGGGCGGATGTGCAGCTATTAATTGTTCAAATCATTCACGGAAAGGTCATACATTGGTAAAATTTCCTAAAAATGAAGAAAGGAGAAAAATATGGGTAAATAATTGCCGAAGAGACAATTGGAAACCTGGTCCAGGCGCTGAACTTTGCTTAGTAAGTATAATGTTAATTACGCCTTCATTTAGAGTTTATATCTTCTCTGATGTTTATAATGTGCAAGTAAAGTGAAATTCTTGTGTACAATAACCTGAGTATCTGCTAATTTCTGTAATAATAGCTATAATTAAATTAGTCTAGGGTTAATGTACCCGTCGCCAAACATCGCCAATGTGGATGTTTTGAATGTGGAAAAGAAATTTCTCTTCTAATATAAAGCGCAGATTTTGTTTTCCTGTGCTAATTGTGGAATTTAATACTAATGTAACATGAAAATCATTAGCATATTGAAATTTATTAAAAAATAAATAATAATTGGAAAGTCAAGATAAATCTGAATGTTTGCTAAAGATATATGTAACATTATACTATAGTTGCAATATCGTTGGAATGATATATAATTTTTTTCTTTATTTTATAAATCACTGTTGTTAAAAAGTTAGATGAGTTGTTTATGCACGGTGCCCACTACTGTTTCTTGGTTAAATAACTTCCAGAATTTTGACATTGACATCTGATGTCAGTAGAATAAATTGAATAGTATGAGACAAAATATATATAATCTAATCAATAATTGCAAGTACCATATAGTTATAATCCAGTATTATACAATTTGGCAATGGAGTAAAGATTTAGAAATGAATGGAGAACTTTCAAATAAGCACAGAAAACTTGTGAAACTGCATGTGTATTTTTCAAAAATAATTGTAGTGTTTTTAATGCATGTGTAGTGTTTTTAATGCATGTGTAGTGTTTTTAATGCATGTGTAGTGTTTTTAATGCATGTGTAGTGTTTAATGCATGCATAACAATCAAATAAATCTGCCTGTAATGATGAATTTCAAAGGCCAAGCCAAAATCCTTTCATGAATTTGATACTTCTAAAGAATGTGATCTCGTCAAATTAAATCCTCATGACATTGATAAACAGTTATTACTGATCTGTGTTACAAAACAGATTTTTATACATGATAAATAATATTTTCTGAAGCGTTATTTTGTGTTGTCATCTCTAAATAAAAAAAAAAATTGCCTACAAATTCAGAAAGCTACTGAACTACGTTCTAGAGTTTTTAATAACTTTAATTGGATATGTCTGTGCCGGTGTAATTTAAAAAATTGTTGTTTAAACTGGCCTTGATGCTTTTTAAAATGCATGTTGGCACTGTGCTCCGAAATTAGGGCTATGTTTTGAATGATTAGAGAATTAAAAATTAAATATTTCAATTAGAGCAATAAACATTACTACAATTATAACAAGAATCATAGTCTGCTGTAATTATAAATGTATTTATCGGCCTAGTATCTTAAAAGTTGGGTGAAGTGAACTCTTATTTTCTTATCTATTGTAAGAGCACTATAGCAAGAATATAAAGTTTTATTTTAGTTGTTTTTAATGTTATAGCAAAACACTACTTCATTTAATTTTTGGATAATGTTCTAAAGAACACTTTAAATTATAGGCAAAAAATAAATATTGGATAATTAAATTCTGCCCAAGCTTACAAGATGCTGCTGCTGATATGTTAGACATGGTTTGTTTATTGTTTCAGTTTTTTATAATACTGGGCCTAATTTAATTACCTGCATATTATTTATTGCCTATACTTACTTACAGTTCATGCTTGCTGCCTTTGGCACAACCTCACTGTGTGGTTTGTTTTTTGTACTTTTATTTATTTTGTATACTTTTTTTTATTTACTTTATGTATTTACAGGATCATTTTGAGGAATCTCAATTTGAGTCACTATGCAAAGATAGGAAAAAACTAAGAAAAACTGCAGTACCAACACTCACTCGTTAGCATTCCAAATCCACCACCATCTGTAACTGATGTCCGTGTGCATAAATTTTCCCATTGTGTTACTTCATTTTATCTAAATTTCAAGGATAATTCTTTTCATTTTTATGTAGCATGTTATTTCTCAGTATAAAGGATATAGTGAAAATAAATTGGTATGTGTATCTGTTTTGAAGTGTAATGCTTAAATAAAAAGATAGTGCGTGTGTTTCTTCATTTAAACAAAATTTCAAGGATAGTATTTTTCAGCGTTGTACTGTTTGTTATTTCTCAATGTAAAGGGTAACAAGGGGAAAAAAACTGGTATGGTACATCTGTTTTTTAAGCATGATAATTTTATTTATTTCTTTAGTGATGCATATATAGAGAGAGAAGGTATTTGGTCCAACTGAAGTTATAATAAATCTAATTTTACTAGATCTCTTTCTCCCCTCAGGTGTAGAAAATTTTCAAATGCAGAAAGTTTATTTGCAGAATTAATTCATTTCTGATAAACTTATTATCATTAATTTTTTATATAACATGTTATTAAGTTACATGTTTGACTACTGTGTAATAAACTTGTATTTAG